GGCATCGAAGGAGCTGGGCGTGAGCCCGATGGCGGCTTCGCTCTGTGCCGCTTCGCCTTTCAGAAAATCGTCATCCTCATCTTCCACTGCCATCTGCACAGAAAACTGAGCGTCAGGAAAACAAGTGCCCGTGACAACCCCTCCATCCTACACCCCTGCCCTGCCCCTCACCATGCCAGGTCTTGGGGCATGCGATGAAGAAAGGCTTCCTTTTGAAAGACTAGAACCTCTTTGTTATAAATCACCCACAAAAATGTTCATCTGTCTGAGATTTGACTTTCAAAGAGATTTTAAGCTCCCTGAGGGCAGGTAGCCCCCCAAAACAGAAAACACTCAGAAAAACAATAAAAACTTTCTAGAAGATGGGTTGGAAATGTGGCTTCACAGTAGCTGAGCACCATTTAAGAAAACCTTGCTGGGTGCTGATGGCTCACACCTGGAATCGTAGCTGCAGCTTATTTTCAATGAACTGTTTCCCAAAGCCAGTATGCAAAAGCATTTTGCTCATCAAAAATTCAGCACTGGGGTTTGAACCCAGGGCCTCGTTTGCCAGATAGGTGCTCTACCACTTGTGCCACTCTGAGAGCTGTGTCTGAGCCGGTACTGCTGCTGTAGGCCTGGACTGGGATCCCCCTATTTGTGTTTCCCTTTGTTGCCGGAATGATGGGCGCATACCACCAAGCCCTACTCTTGGCTGCGGTGGAAATCTCCAGAATGTGTGCCTACCACGCTTAGCCACACACGTTTAACGTTTTCAGAATGCCCCACCCAGCGTGCTGCTCCTGAACGCCTCACCTTTGCCACGGGTTTCTTCAACTCCTGCAGCTCCTCAGCGCTCATGTCTTCCCACTGCTGGTACAGGGGGTCAATGAACTTCTTCGACCTGTCAACAAGGACATGCGTCAAAGTCTAGTAGAGTATACCAACACAGCCAGAGCATGCTTGCTTTCTTGGCGGTGAAGGCCACAGCGTGGACGCTACTTGGCCACTACTCTAGGTAAGTAAGCACTGTGAGGGGTCTCACAATGGGGTTCTTCACATGCTGTTTCTCCCATGTCAGCACAGGGGCCGCAGTGCGCCCTGGCCCTAGGAGCCTGTGGAGAATGAGCCTAGGAAAGTCAGCTCATTTGATCTCCACAATCAAGGCTGGGACCAGACCGTCTCAGCTAGCTGTGCTGCTAGTGGGAAATGGTGTCCAACACGAAGACTAGCCTGTGGCTCCTACCACAGCCCAGTGACACATGCCACTGGCTTTGAAAGGAATTACGCAGAGAGAAGGCAGCCCCTTCCGTGGCCACTCCATCCCAGCCCCTTACACAAAATGCCCGTGTCCCCATGCAAGGCGAGCGTGGCTAACAGGAAGGGGCCGCAATCCCTGGGCAAAGGTCAGACCTCTTAAGCATGCAGGGGTCGAAGGGGAAGAAGGTGTCGAGTGGGTTGGTGCAGGTCTGCACGGAGTCCCCTCCGGCGGAACTTCGGATAACCGGCAGCATCTGGCGGCTGTTCCTCTCAATGATGGTGTAGCAGAAGGCCAGCTGGTATTTACACGCGGGCACTGTGCAGCCAAGTGCCATCTTCTTTGGAACCGCCCCCACCGACCAAAACCCGCAGCAGCTCCTGGGGACACCGCAGAGAGAACAATGGCAGCAGCGAGTCTGTACTGCGGGAGCCCTTTGACGTTTAAAAGCTGACTGGGATCTCACCCACGTCACACCAGCCCTGCGGCAGCCAGGCCCACTCCCTGCACGTCAGCTCCACTTACTTCGTGATAGCAGCAAAAAAGTTCACCACAGACGGCAGGCAGATCTTCAGAGGGTTCAACTGGCTCATCACCAGCCGCTCAAAATTCAGGCCCTGAAGATACCTCAAACCTTTGAGGGGAAAAAAAAAAGCTTCAGGGCTCATTACCTTAGCACAAGTACTTAGCATGAGCTAATAAACCAACACCACATGAGAAAGCCATTTTCAAACGTGTGCGGAAATTCCTTAATAAAGCTCCACGCAGCTGTCCCCGGGCTCACGGGCCTGCCCTAGCTAAGGCAGCTGTGCTGAGGAGAGAAAACTGCTCCTCCTTGCTGAGGTGGCCTCACCCCAATGGGCTTTAGCTCCATCCTCCTCCCTCAGCCTCCACAGGCTGGGATGACCGCAGGCATGCACCACCCTACCTGGCTGCCCTGGGGGCTGGGACACCATGTGGCTTTGGGCTCATGGTACGCATGCTCAGCACAGGCTGAGTATGTCTTTATTACAGCCATGGCCACAGCAGACAAACAGCGGCCGCACGGCAATGCGAAGGGCTCTCTTCTCCCTCTCCCCCTCTCCCCTTCTCCCTCTCCCCCTCCCTCTCTTTCTCTCTCTCTCTCTGCAACTAGTCAGGCCAAAATACTAATAGACGAAGGTGGAGAAGCTTGCTTTAGAAGAAACAACTGTTATAACAAACTACGCAGGACTTGAGCTGCAGCTCCCGGCTGCAGCGCAGGCCTTGGCGGAGCCTTGTCTCAGTGAAGCGGGGAATGGCCTTCCCCAGGCCGAGGGAAGGGCGCACCCACAGGTCCAAGTGAGAAAACCCAGACCACGGCCCAGAACACCAACCTTCCTTCAGGTTTCCACTTAAAAGCTGCTGGTGTCGAAAAACAAACGTGTAGAACACAGCTTGGCAGGCTGAGTAAAATGGACCGTGGAGAGAGACGTCACAAAAAGCCTTTGTTCCCGAATCTTGGTTATTAAGGTACGAGTGCAGCCAGTTAACCAGAAGATCCAGGCATGACTTCACGGTGCTGGAGAGAAGACACGCTCACGTCAGCTGCCTCGCTTTGTAACCAAGCTACCACACACATACCCCGTGGGTTGTCTTTAACTAGGAGAACTTCAGGGGCCTCCTTCAGTGCCCCTGCAGGTGGGGCTGTAGTTCAGTGGTAAGCCTGCCTAGTGTGCTCACTCTCCGGCACCAAAGTGCAGGTGGAGAAGAAGATGGAAAGGGGCGGTGCCTGGAGGAGGACAGTGCTTCCAGGAAGGCTCCTAGAACATCCCAAGGGAGAGAGGCCAGTTCCTCCTAATCCACTCAGAAGGGTTCTTGGGTGGATCGTGGTCCCTTAGCACTATGGACAAAAAGCAAAGCTCATTTACCAACATCTGACATGAGGAAGGTGGCCAGCTCAGTATCCCTGCTTCCCAGGGATTGTGATGAACTCCGATGGTCAACAATTCAAGCCAGAAGACTTTTAGTTGTTAGGAAAGGTTTTTGTTGTTTTGGGCCAGTCCTGGAGCTTGAACTCAGGGCAATGGCGCTGTACCTGAGTGTGTCCTGCCATTGAGTTACAGCTCCACTTCCAACTTTTTTAGGTTAACTAGAGACAAAGAGTCTCCCAGAATTTCCTGCCCAGGCTGGCCTCAATCCACAATCCCCAGATCTCAGTCTCCTAAGTAGTTAAGATTATAAGTGTGAGTCACCAACACCTGGCATTTTTTTGTTTTTGTTTTCTTCTTTCTTTTTTTGGTCGGTCGTGGGGCTTGAACTCTGGGCCTGGGCGCTGTCCCTCAGCCCTTCAGCTCAAGGCGAGCGCTCTACCACTTGAGCTACAGCGCCACTTCCGGTTTTCTAGTGGTTTATTGGAGATAGGAGTCTCACGGTCTTTCCTGCCCGAGCTGGCTTTGAACCTCGATCCTCAGATCTTAGCCTCCTGAGTAGCTAGGATTACAGGTGTGAGCCACGGGTGCCTGGCTTGATAAATTTTTGTGTTGTTTTTTTTTTTTGGACAGCTGTGGGGCTTGACCTCTGGGCTTGGGCGCTGTCCCTGTGCTCTTCAGCTCAAGGCAAGCACTCTACTGCTTGAGCCACAGCGCCACTTCCTGGTTTTTTTTTCCTAACAGCATCTTTGTCCATTAAAATATCTTCACAAATCATCACCGGAAGGAAATGGCCTCCTAAACTGGCCTCTCTATTAGCCACCTTTCTTTTAGTACTGGGTAATCAAGCTAGGATTTCATGCATGCGGAGAATAGGATCTATCTGCCTCTAAGCACTGAGCAACATCCCAGCCGTCTTAGACTACCTTTGAGAGAATTTTCTTTTCCAATACATAACTGATTCAGAATTCAAGTGCATACTGATAAACTTACAAGAAGAATCAAAATAGCACATAACACTGTGCTACCACCAAGACACCATGCCTCTCCCGTGACAGATGACGAAGGCCTCACATGGGAGGAGGTCTAATGTCCCAACCAAGAGACCCTGTTCTGGAAATCAATTTTTTATTTTTTGCCAGTCCTGGGGCTTGAACTCAAGACCTGGGCACTGTCCTTGAGCTTCTTTTGTTCAAGGCTAGCACTCTACCACTTGAGCCACAGTGCCACTTCTGGCTTTTTCTGTGTATGTGGTACTGAAGAACTGAGCCCAGGGCTTGATGCATGCTAGGCAAGCACTCTACCCCTAAGCCACATTCTCAGCCTGAAATCAACTCTTAGAAACATCTTTCAGAAAAGCAGGAATAGATTTATTTTCACTTTACAGATAGACCAAAAGGGAAACAAGTATTTCTCTGATAAAGCTCTCATGTTAAGAACATGGAAAATCAGGTTACTTACATAAGAGGAACAAATCTCGCTCTTGCCAGAAAGCTCCCGATGTAATTCCCAGCAGCTTGCCGGATGATAGCAGGATTATTTGGATCCTGTAATTTTTTCCAGAGATGTTCCAAAAATGCCTCTGCAAAACCCTATCAAAAAAAAAAAAAAGGTTTTTGGTTTTTTTGCCAGTCCTGGGGCTTGAACTCAGGGCCTGGCACTGTCCCTGAGCTTCTTTTGCTCAAAGCTAGCACTCTACCCCTTCAGCCACAGTGCCACTCCCAGTTTTTTCTGTGTATGTGGTACTGAGGAATTGAACTCAGGGCTTCATGCATGTGAGACAACCACCCTACCACTAAACCACCTTCCCAGCCCAGCACGATCTTTTATTTTGTAAGCTATTAGAAGCACCAACAACAGAGAAAAAGCCCTAGCATCTCAGTTATAATGTGCAGTGGTCAGGAGATACTACTACTGAAAACTGAAGGTGTTCTGGGTGTTGAATAATCAGTGGGTTCCAGATCCAGCTCAGCATCAGCATCAAAGCTGCGTAATCGGTTCAGCGATGTGCACCTGTAGCTTAACTGCTTACTAGGGAAGCTGATGCAGGAGGCTTGCTTGAGCCCAGCATTTCAGGAACAACTGAGGCAACATTATAAGAACCCATCTCAAGAACAAAGCAAACAGCAGTAACAACTACAACAACAAAAATCAAGCATGTCAGGAGGCAGAGATCAGAAGGATCTCAGAAATCTAAGGCCAACTCAACATAACCTATCTCAACCAACAAGCCGAGCATAGTGGCGCATCTGTCATGCCAGTTACATGGTATACATCAAGAGGAAGATCATGGTCAAGGATGGCCTCAGACAAACACGTAATACCTTAGCAAAAAAAATAAATAAAGCAAGGAAGACTTGAGGGATGGCTCCAGTGGTAGAGTGGCTGCCTAGCAAGTGCAGAGCTCTGAGATCCTAAGTATAGGGGAGAGAAGGGGATGTCAGAGACTGAGCAGGTGTGAGGCACAGCTGGAGTGCGCACGGTAGCAGGGCTTCAGGTGACTCAGGCTCTGCCTCCCCTTGAAAGCAGTCATCACCTACACTTCTTGGAGTCCCCAGGGGCTCTCACTGTCTCTGCACGTGCTACACCTAGCCAGGCTCATTAAGTATGGAGTAAAGAACAAATGCTGTTCATGGAAAATCACTGAGCTTTTCGGCAAAGGGCTCTGCTGAAAAGCTGGACCACTCGGGTTCAGGCAGATGAGGTCAACCTTCCCCCAGTACTCTCTGTTGACTATTCTAACAAGGACACAACATCTGCAAGGAAAAGGCAAGAATCTGCTGTGCTGGCACTTTTTCCCCAAAAAATAAGTCAGATCCTTCTTGTTTTTTTCTCCCCCCAAAAAAGTCCAATCCCAAAGTTTCAAAATTCTGAAGTATGACTATTCTTTCAATACAGAAAGAATAAGGAAAATCAACAGTTAAATATTCCATAGGAGATTTTAATGGAAAAGACTGAACTAAAAAAGTGAAGGGTACCAAAAAGAGAGCAAAGACAGAATGACATCTGCAGAACTCCCATCAGACCAGATGAAAACTGAATTTTACTAGGGATACCAATAAAATGAGCTCGAGGAAAAGAAATACCTCTGAATCTCATTCCACCAGTTTTCAACTCCAGAAAAAATTTCAGACAAGAATAATACCAAAGCCAGACATGGTGGGGAGGTGGGTATATAGGGGAATAATGGTCTGAGAACAGCACAGGCAAAGTGTCAAGAGACTTCAACCAATAAAAAGCTAGGGAAGGTGGTCCATGTGGGTCACCTCAGTTACACAGGAGCATAAATGAGTTCATGGGTAGGTCAGGCACCAGTGGCTCACGCCTGTCATCCTAGCTACTCAGGAGGCTGAGATGTGAGGATCTTGGTTCAAAGCCAGCCCAGGCAGGAAAGTCTGTGAGACTTATCTCCAACTAACCACCAGAAAACCAGAAGTGACGCTGTGGCTCAAGCAATAGAGTGCTTGCCTTGGGTTCAGAGCTGAGGGACAGCGCCCAAGCCATGTTCAAGTTCCACAACCGACAAAAAAAAAAAAAAAAAGAGTTCATGGGTAAAAAGTGTGACACTGTTCAAAATAATATAAGCCAAAAGGAGTGTGGCTCCCATGGTAGATAGAGTCTGCCTAGAAGCAGCATGGGGCTTTGAGTTCTAAAGCCATTACCACTAAGAAAACCAGAATGAAAAACAACAACAACAACAAAAAAAAAAACAGAAACACAGTAAGATACTGACAGTGACATTTTACTTACCAATTTGAAGCTACAGAGGTAAAACATGAAAAACTGGACATGGCAGGAGGCATGGGTGGGCAACAGCAGCTTGTCAAAGATGGAGATAAGATCACGATACAATTCCTTGGTTTTGTTGTTATCAACCTTACCTACAGAGAAAATTCACCATCTCAGTTGCATAAAGTTTCAAGCTATCAGTGTTATTTGCCCAAAGCAGAACAATGTTAAACATGGCAATGAAAGCAAAGTATGGTGGTACTTGCCTGGATCTCAGCACTCAGGAGACTGAAGTGTGAGGATTCAAGGTTTGGGGGTCAACCCTGATTGCAGTGAGGCCCTAACCCCTCACTAAAATCAACAACACAGCTTGGTACAGGTGACTCACACCCAAAACCCTAGCTACTTAGGAGGCTAAGATCTGCAAGATCTAGGTTCGAGAGCAGAATGAGAAGAAAAACTTATTAGACAACATTTCCAAAACAACCAACAAAAACAGCAGACTAGAGACATGCTTCAAGTAGCAGAGCACCAGCCTAGAAGTCTGAAACCTGGAGTTCAACCCCCATTACTACAAACACACAAATATCTAGCATTATGCAGTAACCTAAGATTAAAACAAAATGCTAGATTGCAGATTTTCCTTTATTTTCGTCAGTCCTAGGGCTTGGATTCAGGGTCTAGGTGCTGTTTCTGAGCTCTTTTGCTCAAAGCTAGTGCTCTACAACTGAGCCATAGCTTCAGTCCCAGTTTTTAAGTGGATAACTGGAGAATAGAGTCTCACAGGGACTTTTCTGCCTGGACTGGCTTCAAACCGTGATCCTCAGGTCTCAGCCTCCTAAGTAGCTAGGGTTACAAGTATGAGCCATGGGCACCCAGCAATAAAAACCTTTCTAGGAAGTGTGTTGTGGCTCAAGTGGTAGGCCACTGGCCTTGAGCTGAAGAGCGCAGGGACAGCGCCCAAACCCAGAGTTCAAGCCCCACAACAACAACAAAAAAAAAAAATCAAAAACCTTTCTAGGCCGGGCGCTGGTGGCTCACGCCTGTAATCCTAGCTACTCAGGAGGCTGAGATCTGAGGATCCAGGTTCAAAGCCAGCCCGGGCAGGAGAGACCGTGAGACTCCTATCTCCAATAAACCACCAGAAAACCGGAAGTGGCGCTGTAGCTCAAGTGGT